ACTTAAGACACCAGGACAGGTTGTCTTAGTAAAATAAATAGTTATAAGCGTTTTTTGACGAACGAATTTTTTAGTTAGTTTTTGTGCAATGGATTTGCAGAAAGAGTTTTTATTGATATTTCTTTTGTATATATTTTAGCATAAGTGTTTCTAATATATTGAAGAGTATTTTCACTCAAATGTGATAAGGTCTCAGGATTCTTGATGGTTTTCAAAAATGAATAGGCTTTTCTAATTTTATATCTAGTAAAAAAGTATTTTGTTGATTTTTCTTCTTGCTTAATCCATTGTGCTTTTGAACATATTTGCTATTTTTCTGTAAAATGTGATAGCTCATTTTGGAGATCTAGACTTAGTTTGTCAACTTGATTATATAGAAAAGAGTTTTCTGAGTTATATGCTAGTTTTTTTTTTAGTTGAGTTATATTTTTGTTTAGTTTGGCAATCTTGTTTCCTACAGCTTTTGGCTTTCTAAATACTCTTATAATAGATTGTATGTAAACTTTACAGAAGTGTCAGTCATTTGTTTCTTCAAATGTAATAATTTCTTTAAATACTTCTTTTTTCAGTTTTTCATTTATAAAACAGTTTTTGTTAAATCTCCAAAAAGCTAACTCTCTTTTTCAGTTTTAAAACAAAGAGTGCATTCTACCAAAAGGTGATCTGAGTTGTCAAACTTTGTATTGATTTGTAAAATAAGATGAGCATTATTTTTATCAATAAAGATATAATCTAAATGAGTAGCCATTATATAATTGCTTTATGTTTTTTGAAAAAATGTATGGAAGGAACTTGTTTTTGCAAAATCTGAGGAATCTATAAAGTTTTTAATAAGGTTTAGGAGTTGTACTCTTATTGAGTCTCACTAAGGTGCTACCTCACTAGTTCTATCTTTTTCTAGATATAAATTAGTATTGAAGTTACCTTTAATTATGTTGATAGCATTTTTATTGATTTGAGATACCCATTTCTCGAAAAAAAGTTTTCTATGATTAGGGTTCAGAGGAGCATATATATTGGAGACTTGGAATATAAGATCTTTGAATTTGAAATTAGTAGTATTAATTCTATTATCTATATTTATTTTTGTATCTTTAAATATTATATCTTTATTGCCTGTAAGTATAGCTGTCTTATTTGTTCAAATTGAATCAAAAATCCACTAGTTTTTCAGAAAGCTTTGTATGTTTTTGTCATTTAAGTTTGTTTCTTATAATATAATAAGGTCTAGTTTGTAAGATTTTAAAAAAGTTAAAGTATTTTGTTGTTTTTGTTAATTGTTCAGCCCTTTTACATTAAGGCTTGCAATTTTAAATTTGAATTGTCTAGTTATATTATGAATAAAGTAATACAGATATTAGATCTGTGAATTTGTACTTCATTGCAAGATTTCTTGTATAGAGCTGGTCTAGTTGTTACAATCTTCTAATTTGTAAGATCATTTTTGTTTTTTTTATCTTTTTTTTTTCTTTGTGGAATTAAAGTAAATTCATCATTAGAAATTTCAGGTTGAATTTGTTGAGTATTATCATTTGTAATTAGCACTACTGGTGTGCTTAGAGAAATAGGTTGTTCTATTTCCAAAATATGATCTGTTATTAGGTTTTCTATAGTAGGAACTTCATTGCTAGCATCACTAATGTCTTTATTAATTGGACTATCTAAATCTTTTTTTATTGATGTAGAGTTATTTGTTTTCTCATTTCTATTAGTGTTGGAGGTGTTAGAGAGAATTTTTTTTGATTGAGAATCATTAACGTTTACTTCTTCTATAAAATTATTTTGTTCTTGCTGATCTGTATTTATATTTTCTAAGTTTGCTAAAGAAAGCTTTTCTTTTCTTTATTAGAAAGAAAGTTATTATAGTAACAATAAAGTTCAATAGCTTTCTTGTATTAAGTGCAGTCTTTTTTGATATGTCCTTTATTGTCACAGAAGTAGCATAGCTTGGGTGCTGTATGCCACTCTGTAGTAACTTTGTTATTTAAAATAATATAGAATCGAAGAATTCTTTTTTTTAAATCTAAGTCTTTTGTAGTCTCGAAGGTAATAATTCATTAATCAGTTAGGTAAGAAGTGCCTTCTATTAAGAGTAGCTTGATTGAAGCAATTTTACTGAAATTTTTAAAGGCATTTTTAATTCTATTTGAAATAAATTTCTTGTTACTTAAAGAAACATTTCAGATTTTAACTAGCAAAAAGGATCTTTTAGTATTGACAGAAATATATTTATAATATAAGTGATTAAAAATTTCAATCCTTTTCATAGCATAGTGCTTGAGCTTTTTCTCATTTGTAAAAATTAATTCTAGGTGGGTATGAGATCTTCTATTGACATGTGGCTTAGCAGTGATTATGTCTTGTCCAGCTGTCTCATAAAGAAAAATCATAATATTATTTAGTAAACCATTTAGATTATGAATGTCTAAAATAAGAGCATTATTATTTTTAGACCTGATGTTGTTTCTTAGTGAGAATAAAGAGAAGGTTAATTGTCTTCTCTTGACTTTTGCAAATAAGCTTGATCATGGTTTGTTCAAGGCCTCTTTGCTTTTGTTTATACCTATTGTATTAGACTTTGCATAAGATGTATTGTTTTGTTCAATATACAGAGTTGTTGTTGTTTTGTTTTTCTTATTGTTTTGTCTTTTAGAATGTGTTTTGAAACTAAACATGACTGTAAAGCTGTTTTGATTCTTTCTTTCTTTAGAAGCTCTTGTTTTGTTTTCTAAAGTAACTTGCTCATCCTAGCTAATGTTGTTTAGAAAGTTATCTTGCATAGAGTTAGATAAGACTTCTTGGCTAGTTTTTGTTATCATAATATGCTCTTTAGAAAAAGAAATAGTTTCAGTTATTGCTAGTTGTTTTTTTGTTAAAAAGTTTGTTGTTAATTTATTTTTCTTGTTTCTGTAGACTTCTAAAACAAAAGTCTTGCACTTTTTGGAAACAAGGAGAAGAGACCCTGTTCTGCTACTGTTTTTGAAGTTAGTGAAGCTCTGTGTAGAGTATATTTTGTCTTTTTCAAAATTGCCTTCTTTCTTAAACATAGTGGTCAAAAAAAAAACTATTTAAAAATAAAAGCACTATTTTAAATTATATATAAACTTAATTGTAAGTTTTTTTTATATTTAATTTTATAAAAAATTATATTAAGTAAACTAATTTAATCATTAAATAAAAATTATAAAATAGATCTTTCTGATTCTAATAATATCAAAATTATTAAAATTAATTAAAAACTTATTAAAATATAAATTTTTTTTTTAAATATTAAGATAAAACTTGTGACCTAGAATTTTATTGATAGTATATTTGGCTAATGATTGCATTACAACCACAAAGAACAATCATAAAAAAAGTATACAACTAACTACTTATATAACTTTAGTTATTGTCTAATTTAAGTAGTTCATCTAAAAGTTTTATACTAGTTGTCATATCTAAAATCTGCTTGTAAGTTTCCTATTTAACTACTCTAGTTTTTATATCTATCCACCTACCTCTGTTTACCAATGATCTCAGCTGATGCTAGTGAAAATATGTTATAATCACTAAGTCTTTAAAGTAGTTTTTTAAAACTTTTAATTTTGTACTAAACCTTCTAGAATTTTCTGCATCCCATTTTTATAGCTGATTCAGTATTGCTATAGCTAAGACCAATACTAATGATCAGAACATATTATTAAGCCACTATACCCTTGTAAAATTCATCCCAATCTTAGTACTGGCTTTACAATATATTCTTACTACTTTGGTATTTAATTTAAATTTCAACAAGCTGTTATTCCAAATAGCTTGAAAAGATAAGTTATAACTATACATCTCTGGTTTATATGTTTGTCAGAATGTATACTTTTTCTCTGAAATCTGGAAATTCTAACAGCCTAATTGGTTTATTCAGTTCCTTCTTAAAGACTAGCACATTTGATCAGTTTCATAAGTTTTAGCTCTATTTCATAAGTCTAATCTTTACAGTAGCATTGTCAAAAATTCAAGTTACCTTTCTATTTGAGTTTTCCAAATAGACTTCCTGTGATTTACATAATCTAAAAACTTATCTTGGATTTACACTGCCTAGTACCAGTTTGTGTTTCTTTATACAACATTGTACAAGAGCCTAAACCTTCTAATTATGCTAGTATGACATGGGTTACAGATATTTAATCTCAACCAATTACAGAAAACAATTACTATAATACAAAAAGAATTGCAAATTTTTGTTACTACTAAGATTTAAACTCTAGATCTGCCACTTGAAAATTGACAACCTATCTACTTCACTAGATTACCACACCTCTATTAAAATATAAATTTTTAAACATCAGATGATAAAATTATATAATAAAATTAATTTATAAATTTATATAAATTAACAATTAAATTCTTCTGATTTTGTACTATCTAAATAAATTTTAACCAACTTAAATAAAATTATTATATATATAAGTAAATTTTTTTAAAATAATACAACAGTTCAAAATTTTGTCATAATAGATAAATAATTTTATTTATAATATAAAATTTTTTATTAATTAATTAAAAAATAAAAAAGGTTTATTAGTAGCATATATAAAAATATTAAAAACTATATAAAGGTATAGGTTATATTATTACTTCTGATATATCTTTTTTTTTTTTTTTGCTTACACTAAAGTCATAGTTATCAGTGGCTATTGCCTTTATTGTATTTTTAATTATGATTATATAACTTATATAAGGTAAGTATACAACTAGCCACATATACAACTTTTGGTTGTTTATTTTAAGTAGTCTGTCTGCACAGCAGATTTTACACTAGCTGCTATACCTGCAATCTACTAGAAGATTACTTATTTAAACACTCTGATCCCTATACTTACACTACAAATAGCACACAAGTTTCTGTACACCTAAGTGCTGTCTAACTTAACTATGACCTCTCTGTCTGTATATCTGTTAAGCCATTACATATTTCAGAGTATGTCACCTGACTATAGGACTTCAGAGGGCCCTCTTGCTAACTAACTACTCATATTTAGTCTCTTGTTAACAGGGCTTACCCTTGCAGAGTTTACTCAGATCCCAGCATTAACTTTATAGCATATTTCTAGTACTTATAATATATTCCTGTTTCTGATCTCAGACTCCTAATTCAGATAGCCTAGTAGAACTATGACCTGTCTCTGGTACCCTAGTGTCTACCTTCCAAGGTCTTTTTTCTCTGGTTCAAGACTTCTAATGGCCTGGTTGGTGGTACCCCTTATTCAAGGTTCTTGCTTGCCTAATTTTTTCTATATTAGTATTTGTTTCCTAGGTTTAGCCTTTACAGTAGTACTGTCAAAGATCTGTGTTACCTTTCTACTCGGGTCTTCTCAAGTGGGCTTTGGTTTCCCAGTTTACAGATTTACATAGCCACAAGAACTTATCTTGGGTTTGTATTGTTTAATGCCAGTTTGCATTCCTCTATATAACTTCAACATTGTGCAGATGCCCTATGACCTGCCAGTTATCTAGTGTGACCATGTTATAGATACTGATCTCAACTGATCAATGGAGTGCTATTGCTGTAATACCGCTTACCTTTTGTAATACTGATATAACATAGGTGGTTTTCCAAATTTTTACTGTTAGTGGGTTTTGAACTCTCAACCTACCACTTAGGGGTTAACAACTTAACTACTTTACTAAGTTACCACACCTTTATATTATATTTTTTAAAATAAATTAAAAAGCTTATTAATAATTTTTTTTTTTTAAACTTTGGTGACACTGCTAGTTGGTTTATTAGTTTTAATTTGATATAGTACAAATTTATAATTACATTTTTAGGATTAATTATTACTAGTACTATATATTATCTAATTTTACACTACTGACTTTACCTAGTTATCCTTATAGCACCTAAGTGCATATCCATTGCATGTCTGTATGAAGTTATCTTAACAACTACTTGTGGTTAGAATACATTATTAAACAATTATACAAACAAGAATATCTACCAAACTTAATATAGTATCCCAAATGCCAGGGGTACTGTCTTCTGTAAATTATACCCATATGTTCTACTTACATGTTTTATCTAGTCTTGTTTCTTTTGCCTTCTAATCTAACTATATTTAGTATTATCTTGTTCCTTACATTTCTCATCTTTTTGTTATTATATTACTTCTAAATTGGTTCTATTCAGGTATGTTTGGTTCTTAAGATCTTCTTATCTTTGATATGCCTATTATTGATTCTTCTAAGGTGTTTTGATAATGGTTTAGGATCTACAATGAACCTATATCTCAAGCCAGATCTGCTACTACTATTAGTCTTTTGACCAATCTGTATCTCAAGCCAGGTCTGCTGCTACTATTTCTGCAGATGCTCCAGATCTTAATATTATATAGTAACTCGATATTGCATTTAACCTTCAACATGGTACTCCCTTCTATAATAGGAACTAAGACTTGTTGTGCTTATAAACAGAACAATTCTGGTTATACCTAAAGAGTTTTTCGAACCTAGTGATATTATACTATTATATATTGCAAGCTTCTAGCTTATTTGATAATACTTGCAAGGTGATTCTGATTATGCTCTAGGGAGTTACACTGACCCCAGTGATGTCATACTATCTTGCAAATCTTATCTTACATTAGTTAGTTAATCTCAGTCTTGTTCATTATAAACTTCCATATAGATATAGTCAGAAACCTGATTTGATACTTTTATATTGTACAAGGAAGTTATATACCAACCTCTAAGATTTTTTTTTTTATAATTAAATTATTTAGTTGTATCAGAAGTGTTCCCAATTTTTGGTTAAACCAATTTTTTATCACAGCCTATCCTCATGTTCACCACTTCTCTCATCATTCCAGTCTTGGTTACTTTCAGAATATTTTTTCAATTAAATATTTTTGAATCCTAATTAAGACTTATTTGCACAATCTATTGATTATTCTTTCAAGCAAGTACTCTACAAGTTGAGTGCAGAGATGTTGGTACTGCCTATATTAAGAAATATAAAGATGTTGGTGCTACTCTAGCTTAAAGGACTTACATATGTAATCTTTTTATAACTGTAACCTTTTGTAACAACTGCTTGTTATATATAGTGCCTGCATTCATAATTAGGTCTCCTTTTGGAAATTTCTATTTTTATCATTGTACTGCAGTTGAACTTAATTACAGAGCTTTACATTTAATTACAGGTTTTTTATTAGATTACAGAAACTAAAATCTTTCAATTTTGTCTTTAGCTGAACTTAAACTGTTGATCTTGACTGTAGAGGGTATAAGAGTTTAATTGCTAATGTGAGACCTGATAACGTAATGTAAATACTCTGCCGGGACCTCATATGAGAATGGGTATGACAATCAATTCCTTGATTTAGATATTCCAGCAATTAATCGCATTAATGTGATTAATTAAATAAATCAAGGAAATGGAATTAATTGAAGAAAGAGGATTAATTAGAGAAGGGGGATTTATTAAGTAAACAGGTTTAAGTGAATAAATTAGAGAAATTGAATTAAAGGGTTTAAAGAGATAAATGTAATTAATGAAGTTATAAGTAAAAA